ATTAATTATTTTATTTATAAAATTACATTAGATTATTTTTAATTTTAAGTTGATTTCATCAATTTCATTATATAAAGTTGTTATTTATTTTATTTTAAAAATCAAATTGATTTATTTTAAATTACAATCACTTTATAATTTGAAATAGTACTTTAATTTCAAATTACATTTAAATAAATTTAAAAAATTTCATTCCTTAATGTGATTTGATTTTAAATAGATTTTACAATTTAATTATTATATTATCTATTAATTACCAACATAAAAAATAAAAATTTAAGAAAAAAAAAAGAATATATTGAAAATATAAAAAATGTTTTGATCCAGTTGATTGAGTTGATCGAGTTGAATGGGTTTCATTAGTTTGATCGGGTTTTGACCAGGTTTGACCTCCAACGGATAAATATCATAAACCGACCCGGTTATCAAATCAATTTTGGTTCAATTGATTGAACCGACCAAGCCAATCCGGTTTAAAAACATTGCTTGGTTCAACTAGTTGCTATGTTTTCCCATTTCTTTGTCTATTACACATACTTATATAATCACTATTATTACCTTAATAATGATTTAATTTACTTAAAATCTTAATTGCATTATTCAGTTAAAGATGACAGATGATCGTCGTTGGATGTATACATGACGAGGTCCTCGTGGAGATTGTGATGCCGAATTCTTTAATGGATTACAACAATTTTTTGATTTCGTCTATAGTCGTCTTGGTGTTCACTTGAATGCCAAAATTCGTTGCCCCTGTAGTAAATGTGGAAATTTACCTCACCACAACAAGGCAACTGTAACAGACCATCTGTTGAAATATGGTTTCATGGATGCATATTCTGTGTGGTTGGCACATGGTGAAACTTTAAGTAACAATGTTGATCCATGGTTAGCTATAAGTGATGTGGCATCCTCAAGTAATATTGAGGAACATGTTAATGATGAGGATGATATCCATCACATGGTTTATGATGCATTCTGTCCATCTAAAAACGATCACCCTAGAAATGAAACAGAGTTCGCATCTGAAAATGTTGGGGATGCGCCAAATAGACATGCATAATCTTTTTATGCCATGTTGTGTGCTTCAACCATCCCACTTGGACCATCATTTAATAATCAAACATTGCTTGGATGGTTATCATATATGCTGCACTGCAAAGCCAAAAACAACATAACTGGTGTTGGTTACAATGACATCATTCAGGGCTGTAGGCAATTGTTAAGTCCAGAAGATAAGCAAAAAGCACCGTCAAATTTTTATGAAGCAAAACAATTCATGAAAAACTTAGGTTTAGGCTATGTCAAAATTGATGCATGTGTCAACAACTGCTTTCTATATTATGGTGATAAGGCAAAGTCACTTACTACTTGTCCAGTTTGTGGTGAACCTAGGTATAAAAAATGCAACTCGGTTCAAACTCAAAAAAAGGGTAGACCTAGGAATTCTTTGTGGTATCTGCCCATTGTTCCACACCTACAGAGGCTATACATGTCTCATAAAATTGCTGAGCATATGACATAGCACCTTAAATGTCGTGTTGACTCGGAGATCCTCATTCATCCTGCTCAGTCTATTGCTTGGAAGCACTTTGATGTCGTTCATCCTTCATTTGCATCTGATCCGTGAAATGTTCGTCTTGGTCTTGCAACAGATGGGTTTAACCCGTGGGGTCATTCTTCGAGGTCATATTCCTGTTGGCCTATTTTCATTGTTGTTTACAATCTTCCTCCTGAGATGTGCATGCGACCTGAGTTTACATTCCTTACACTTGTTATTTCTGGACCAAAAAGTCCAAGCAAAAACATTGATGTTTTCCTCCATCCACTTATTGATGACCTGAAGCGGTTATGGTCGTCGGGGATAGAAACATTTGACAGCTTTCGTAAACAGAACTTCACAATACGAGCCATGCTTATGTGGACCATAACAGATTTCCCCCGCTATGGTATGGTTTCTGGATGGAGTACGCATGGTCGTCTGTCTTGTCCATATTGCATGGAAATGACTCGTGCTTTTTACTTGCAGTATGGTTGCAAGATTTGCTTCTTTGATTGTCATCGGCAGTTTCTTCCTACATCACACTCGTACAGAATGGATGCATCTCAATTCCTTAAGGGCCACCTAGAATTTGACCCCCCTCCTCCACGATTAGATGGTCATTCTGTTCGACTTCGAGTTGCTGCACTACCTGATGTTTTATTTGGAAATCCATCAGTAAACCAAAAAATTCTCAAGTTTGGTGAAACACACAATTGGGTCAAACAAAGTATCTTCTGGGAACTCTCATACTGGGGGGATAACCTGATCAGACAAAATCTTGATGTCATGCACTGTGAGAAGAACTTTTTTGACAACATCATACACACAGTCATGAATGACTCGTCCTCAAAAGACAATGTTAAGTCAAGAATGGACTTACTATTGTACTGTAATAGGAAAGAACTACACTTGTACTATGACAGTTCTGGGTCGCTTTGCAAGCCAAACGCAAGTTATGCACTTGACACGAATAAAAAAATATGTATATGTACATGGCTCAAAAATGTGCAATTTCCAAATGGGTTTGCATCTAACATCGCACGTTGTATGAACATAGCTGAGCTACGCTTAGTTGGATTGAAGAGTCATGATTGCCACATATTCATGCAGCACCTCATTCCAATTGCTTTCCGTGGCTTGTTATCGGATTCTATATGAGGTCCATTAACAGAAGTAAGTAATTTCTTTCGTGCACTATGTTCCCCAAATGTCAACATAAAAGACATGGCAGTTTGGGAAATTAAGATAGTTGAAAAAATATGTAAGTTAGAAAGAATCTTCCCGCCATCATTTTTTGATTGTATGGAGCACCTAGCAATCCATCTTCCTTTCAAGGCGCGAATTGGTGGGCCTGTACAATTTCAATGGATGTACCCATTTGAACGGTAATGGAAACAAGTTTGCACTAATTTCAAGTATAACAGAATCTATACTAATTTGTTATGCTCATATCTAATTTCAAATTTTACAGACAAATGCACAAACTTAAACAAATAATAGGGAACAAGAATCATGTTGAGGCATCTATTGTCGAAGCAAACATTCTCAATTAAATAACAAGATTTTGCTCACGATATTTTGGTGCAGATCTTGAAACAAGTAGGAGTAAGCCCCCAAGGAACTTTGCAGCAGTTCCATTTTATAAGAACATAGAATTCTCGATATTTGCGTGCCCTGGTCATCCAATGGGTTCACATTCACAGACACGTTGTCTAACCACTCAAGAGATGAAGGCAGCTGAACTTTATGTCCTACTAAACTGTAGGGAAGTTGATGCACTTCTTAGGTGAGATATGACAAACTAAACTCCTTTTTATTAAATTTTTAGAGTAAGCTTGCTGAATCATAACAGGAAAGTTCAACATTCCATTTTTTGGTCACACATAACTGTTTCCATATTTCAACATCTTTGATCGAGAATTTGGTGTATATATGACCCCTTCTACTCCACACGAAGCACGCGCCAGAAGTTTTGTTATGTGGTTCAAAGATAGGGTAAACAATATTTTTCATCGTGTCATGTTGTTTCAAATATTATTATATACCTATACATATATAGTCATATACAATATATTAACTAATTGAGTTTTTAACGAAAATATTATAAATTTGACTACTAATACGTACATATAAATTCGGTAGGTGTTAAATGACTATCATGAAAGGAATGAGGTTTTGCAATACATTGCACTAGGCCCATCATGGATAGTGAATGTGTACATAGGTTATTATGTCAATGGTTTTAGATTTATGACCCAAAAAGTCAGTAGTGAAAGACAAACATATAACTGTGGTGTATGTGTGAAAGGAACAACCATATCTGATGATGCTAAGACTGACTATTATGGCATTCTTAACGAAGTCATCAAACTATTGTATTATGGACCACATGCGCAAATGTAGACAATTGTCTTATTCAATTGTGATTGGTTCGATACACGTAGGGGAACACGCATTAACCAAGTTTACAACATTGATGAGGTTAACTCACGATATCAATTGTCAACCAGCGAGCCATTTTGCTTTGCGTGTCAAGCAACGCAAGTGTATTACAGTAGTTACCCATCAGATAATCGAGCAACTCGTGGATGGTTCGCCGCATGCAAAATACGTGCTAGACATTTGGTCGACGCTTCTTCAACCTCACTTGATATGGAAGAAATATTCCAAGATGAGGAGCCACCATCCGTACAATCGAATGAGCATAGTTCCAATTTGGCATCTACAGAACGCGTGAATCTGCATGCAGAAGGAGCAACAATGGTTGACTTAAATGGAGATGCAAATGATGATCTTGATGAAAATACAAGTGAAGGAAATGAAAGATATGAAACAAGAGGCGATGTTGGTGACGATAGTAGTAAGACTGAATAGTCGTTAAATAATTGAAGTTCATGTACAGTAATAGTTTTAAAATTTGGTTGTCATTTAAAAATATAAATTTTGTGTATAAGACTTCGTAATTAACAAATATACTTATAAATAACTAGTGACTATTTCTTCAAATTTTGTTTCATTGTCATTATTTATGATATAAATGTTTAGAAAAAAAAATTTATAAACTGCACATATATTTATTTGGTAACATTAGTACTGACCTATTTTATGTGACCATATGTTTTACGGGATGTCAGGTGGGCCCATCAACTCCGCGCGTAGTCGCAGCACATTAGGGAGACGAAAACGTCACAACTCTGTAGATCTTGCATGTGACGTTACCCTACGCATCCATACTCGGTCTATTAGTCCACAAGGTTCTATTCATGCAGCAGCCTCATCCCATAATGGGAAGCAGAAGGGAAGAGGTCTAAACAAACCAAAAAAGGCTGCAAGAAGACCAGATGAAAGACCATTTATACAAATTTCGCATAAAGGCACCTTCTTGGATGTTGAAGTCCCCAGATTGATTACGACCCTATGGAAGAGAGTTTATGAGGGTGATTACTTCACCTATGACTTGTTCCCAGAACAGAAAAGGCTGCAAGTGTGGCAGTTGTTTAAGGTAAGACTAATTATCATTTCATACATAATCCTTCCATCAAATATGTAACGTATGATTAATGATAACGTAACAACATATATGATGAAGTATAAGTCACTATTGTTGGTGTATTGGTCGTTACAGGTAATTTAATGGTATGAGTACTGCATACATTAAAAAAAAAAAAAAAAAGAAGAAGAAAAGAAAACAGTCATCATATGACTTTGGTAAAACAATATGGTATCATAATGGTCATCATATGATACAAAAATCCTTATAATTCTGAGTTTGTCAATAAAGTATTAAAAGTTTGATTCGTTTCAATTAGCTATTTCATATGGACAAAATGGTAATTAAGTATATATGAAAAAATGAAAATTGGTGTATATACATGTGTTATTATACTATATGTTATTAAGTTACATGGAAATAATTTATTTGTATGTGGTGACAGACACATTATCAATGGGGTTTAGAGGATGAGGATGCAGTCCGAAAGGCATTCTTAAGATCAATGAAGAAAGGATGGGGTGATAATATGAAGGATGAACGAAATAAGTGGCGTACAAACGGTGAGTATAGGCCGGTATGGGTACCTGAGCACCTATAGCCTACATTATGCGCTTATTGGGATTCTGATGAGTTTCACAATCTTAGTGAGAGTGGGAAGAAAAACCGAACATCTGGGGAACGAGTTACACACACTACAAGATCTGTGAGTTTAGATGTACATGAAGAACGGATGGTAAGTAAGAAAAGAAATAAAAGTGTATATATATAATAGATAATGAACACAAGTTATATTATTTTTGTTTAATTATCGATTAACTATAAATATAATAACTTGCTAGCCTCGTATAATATGGTTGTGACACACAAACCAAAGCTGTTGGGGGGGTAAGGCCAGCACACCAAGAGCTATACAAGGAAACACATACTTTACAAAAAGGTGTCCCCCAAGGACAAGAAGCTCCATGGTGTGGCGACAAACATAAGACTCGGCATGTAAGTGCAAACATACTAGATAAAAAGTTTTCTATGAGTGACATAGATTGTTAGAAAAAGTGAATAAAAGGTTTATTAATAAAGTTAGTGGTGTTAAATAAAATATAACAAAAATTTTGCATGAGTAAGTATTAATATGTGTAGGTGTTCATGAAACAATTTTGTTTGGGTATTGATTGTCTCTCGATGTTGCTACTTTGTTATCAATTGTTCGTAAATAATAATGATTACATTTTCAACATTGTTATGTGAATACAACATTTAAAATTTTGCAATTATATGTTGTAGTTTTTTTTTTTGCATTACTTTTGTAGGATACATATGTCATTGAGTGCTCTACTACATATGGCTCAAACTCAGCATCATGGCCACCTCGAGACAAGGACGCTTGGGCAACTGCTGTTGGGGGATGCCACAACAATTTCATGCCAAGAATTGGTTCATAGGTAAACCTAGAGGAACTTGGGTTTACATATAGAAAACGACAACCAACGGGGACTTCATATGTGAGCCTGATGATATCAGACATGGCTGAAAAACAATCCAAAGATAGGGAGGCAATGCAAATGATGCGAGATGAAATAGGGCAAGTCAAAGAGCAACGAGAAACAATGCAACGGATACTAGAAGACATGGGGAGGATGCAGGCATCTCTATCGCAGCAATTTGCTGCTTTTAGTGCCTACGGGATGCGCCCGCCTAATGCTACCCCATCATTGCCTCACACTGGGCAAGCATTTCCTCTTGTAGGGACATCATTCCCTACTGCTGGGCCATCGTTTCATGCTAGTGAGCCATCATTTCCTCATGCAATGCCAATGCAAATGCCAATAGAACCTTCATTCCCCATGGACCAAATGGGGAGACAATCAGGATCTCCAAGTACATCTTCAACCAATCCCCCACAAGATGATTATGGTTACCAACCAAGATTTGATGTAGATTACCAAGGTCCATTTGGGCCGAGATGATCAATATACATGAGGTTGCGAACGCAAAACTTGGCATGTTCTTGATACTTGAGGAAAATACTTTTAGTTTTTGGAAGGGTGATTTGAACTTGTTAGGACATGGGTGTATATATCAGTTGGAATTGAATGGTTTGTGATAATATTAACTGTATTATTATGACTTGCAAGTTTAGAATATGTAAATGGTCATGTTAAATATTGCAAGTGGTACTTATATACTTATCTTTTAATTTATGATTATGAGATGAAAGAATTATATAAGTGGTACATATTTATAATAATGTGATGAATTGAAAATATGTGATATGATAAATAACATTGTATGTACTGTGATATGGTAAAATCAAAGTGTAGTAACAACAAGTATAAAAGTTGGGGCATGTTAGAGAGGTTCGAGCATTTCAAGCATATTAGAGTCGACTATATACATCAATAATCGACTATCAACCCTCCAAGAGTCGACTGTATAGAAGCAACATTGGACTCCCAAATTCCAAAGAGGTTCAAGCATGTGCTGCAGGTTAAAGTTGACTCTACCTCCTCCAAGAGTCGACTATATAAAAGCAACATTCGACTCCCAAATTCCAGAGAGGTTCGAGAATCCTGCTACATGTTAAAGTCGACTCTATGAATGAAGAGTCGACTCTATGAATGAAGAGTCGACTCTATGAATGAAGAGTCGACTCTATGAATGAAGAGTCGACTCTATGAATGAAGAGTCGACTCTAAATCCTCTAAGAGTCGACTATATAGGATCAATATTCGACTCTCAAATTCCAGAGAGGTTCGAGCATCCTACTACAGGTTAGAGTCGACTCTATACATAAAGAGTTGACTCTAATGCCTCCAAGATTTGACTATAAAGAAGCAACATTCGATTACAAAATTCCAGAGAGCAAGGAAAGTTCCCAATAGTGGATATAGTCGACTCTGTTCTTTTAAGAGCCGACTCTTTTGAGAAAAGAGTCAACTATTATATTAAAAGTTAACTAAGGGCCAAAAATTACAATAAATTTATGTAAAATATTTATGTACCTTGATATACATGTTGATACATATTTTTAAATAAATTAGTGTTTTAAATTATTTTTATATATTAATAAAAATTTTAATTATATTAATTAATTTATTAATATTAAATAAAAGTTAA